ACCTTGCCCTCACTCACCCTGGGGCAGGGGGCATGGCCAAAGAACTCAGGGTAGTTGGAGCCCAGAGCCCCCAGGGTAGTTCGGAGCAGCCCCTAGGCCGGGAGGGGGGGAACCTTTTTTGGGTTGGAGCCTCTGACCCACAGAAAAATCAGTCAGGGGCCGGCCACAAGTGAGAAGCCAAAAAGCCCCCAAACCTTCACTGACATGGCCCTTAGCTGAGAAGCAGAAAGACACGCCCCATATTCCTCTCCCACACCAGAGCCTGAGGCAGGGCAGCCTAATAGATTTTCTGTGCTCCAGCCCCACGGTGGGGCAGCAGGAGGGCTGGAGTAGCAGTGCAGGCTCCCCAGTGCTAGGCGGGGCCCTGAGGCATGGGGGCTGAATCCAGGCAAGCTGGGGGCTGCATCCAGCCCCCAGGCCTGAGGTTCCCCACCCCTGCCCAAAGCTGACTTAAGGCCTGTTGGGACTTGCAACCAGCACAGGACTGGGAGGCAGGCCAACCCCACCCACACCCGTCTGCTGGACAGAGGCTGTTCCAAACAATCGTCTTGTTCCAACTTTGGTACCATCACATGTAGCCAAAAGTAGGCCAGTCGAACTCAAGCCGTGAGCAAAGGAGCCTTTCTCTCCAGCTTTCTCTCTCTGGCCATCAGCCTGGTGACTGCCCTCTCCAACGGGAATAGCACTTACGGTGCCAGGGTACAAAAAAGAATTTGACCTGGTCTTCTGAATGCACAATGACACCATCCTTTCTGCTTATTAAACTCCACGGAACGGCCATGTCAGAACCGTGGGGCTCTTTAAAGTGCAGGGAGCGTGGGCGTGAGAAGGAACTGGGAAGCATGACGGCAGGGACTCCAAAGAGATGCCGATAGCTTCCGTGAGAGGCGCCCAGTCACGGTGGCGTGAGCCATTCACGGTTAGCGGATGAGTATGCTCATTTCCCCAGGCAGGGTGTCAGGAGGGGAACGGACCCTTGTTCGTGGAATTTGTGAAAGTATAGTTGAAGTTGTAACACAGGCATGCTCAGCAGAAATCTTTGCCTGGAATAGAGGGGTACTGATATAGCTCCAGGGGTAAGTGTGTGTGTAACAAGACATCTCCCCCTTCCAGCCTCGCAGGGAGCTAGATCCATTCATTTTTTGTAACGTGTTTGGGATCCCTGGAGGGATTGGGACTAGGGAAACACACAGTGTTGATAATTATGATCCCTCAGTGTCGCTTCATTGTGCTCAATGTCTATGGATGTGTTGCCAAGCTGTGAAGCCTTATGGAAATCTAGGAATCCAGCTTTTGGAGGGGGAGCTGTGGGTCCAGACATGCGGGAGGTGTATAAAATCATGAATAAAACAGAGGCCACTTGTATGGGGGACAGCTCCTGAGAATAGTCAGGCGCAGCCATTAATAACTCTCCCCCATATAATACGAGTGGAACGGGAAGCATAAAAGGATTTGGTATTTTTTAAAAGCAGCATATGATTAAACTAGCGGGATTTGCTGCTGTAGGACGTGGTTGAGGCAACTAGGTGGGTAAGATCTAAGAACTGGATTGGACATTGAGATTACTAAGACTGGCACCTGCCAGAAAAAAACAACCTACAAGACCTGTCAGTCCTCATACCGTAGGGCACGAACTGATGGGTAACAGGATTCAACATTGCAGAAGGCAACTGAGGCATGATACTCCTGTCGTGATACCCCCAAAGACATGGAGATTGAACCAGTTCCCGTGACCCACTGTGTCTAAGCCGGCCAGGACCCATTCAGTGCATGATCTTGCTGGAGGCCGGCTGTGCTAAAGACTGAATAAGCCAGGAGGCGCCCTATGGCACCTGAGAGTGTGTCTAGACGACAGGGTTTTGTCAACAAAAGTTGGCCTTTGTTGACAAAACTATACCTGCGTCTACACTGCCGCCGCGTTCTGTCGACGGTGGTAAAACTCATTTTACGAGGAGTAACGCCTTTTTTGGAAAGTGCTTGTTGGAAAAAAGGCGTTATTGCATGCAAACTGTGCTTTGTCGAAAGACAGCGTCAGGACTGATCATAGTCTAGATGCTCCTTTTCGACAGAGGCTTTATCGACAGTATCTGTCAACAACACCTCTCTCGAAAAAGGCGTGCAGTCTAGGCGTAGCCTTAGAGTCTAACAAACGTATAGAGAATCAAGAGCTTTCGGGGGCAAAACCCACTTCCTCAGATGATGAGCTGGAGTGGAAAGAACAGAAACCAAGTTGTTTATAACAGGGGGATAAAAAGGTACCTGTCAACTGTAGCATTGGTGCTAATGGGGAGAATTGAGTGAGCAGGAAGTGTCCCCTACTTAGCTTTTGATGTAACAACAAGGTGTTAAAGACAGGGGAGACTGGCTTTATAGCACAGTGTCCACTCCAGCTCGTCATCTGAGGAAGTGGGTTTTGCCCCCGAAAGCTCATGATCCTAAATACTTTTGCTACTCTAAAAGGCTATGTCTAGACTGCATCCCTCTGTCTACAGAGGGATGCAAATCAAGCACATTGAAACTGCTAATGAAGCAGGGATTTAAATATCCCGCACCTCATTAGCATAAACATGGCAGCCCCTTTTTTCCGAAACAGAGTTTTTTTTAAAAAAATGGCAGTCCAGACGCGGATCTGTCAAAAATAAAGCCTTTTTTTGACAGATCTTGTAAATCTCATTTTTTGAGGAATACAGGATCGTTGAAAAAGGCTTTCTTTTCGACAGAGCTGCATCTAGACTGCCATTTTTTTCGAAAAAACTCCATTTCGAAAAAAAAGCGGCAGCCATGTTTATGCTAATGAGGCACGGGATATTTAAATCCCTGCTTCAGTAGCAATTTTGATGTGCTTGATGTGCAGCCCTCTGTCAACAGAGGGATGCAGTCTAGACGTAGCCTAAGGTGCCACAGGGCTCCTCCTTGTTTTTAAAGTTACAGACTCCCACGGCCACCCCTCTGAGACTAGAGACTGAGTAGTGCCCCTCATCGGCATTGACGAGCCCACTAAAGCACTGTATCCAGGCAGAAAGAACCGGTGGCAGGATCTCTGCCCTCTCGCCGCGTCTTTGGGAAAATGAATTTAAAAGACCCTGCCTCTCCTCTGATGACAGCCGGCTCAGAATTCCTGCTCTCCCTGCCACTGACTGTTTAGTGGTCTCTTAAGGTCCGTGGCAGAAGCTTGGTTGCTGGACACAGTGTCTAGGAAGGAACCATTCTATGGGGGAGAGGGATAGGCTGGATGGACTATGCTCCAGGGCCATACAAGTTAGGAACATTGACAATATTGGTGTAGAGAGCCATCACTCAGTGCGTGAAGTGATATTGAATCAGTCGTACTCCTCCTGAGCCAGCAGACAAGGTGATTCCCGAACCAGGGAGCGACAAAGAACTGCCCCCTGCATGATCGAAAGTTTTCATTTATAACGTTGATCCAGCCATCACATTCTTTCATTCATTCATGAGAGCCCCCCAAAATGGGACCTGAGTGAAAGTCCAATTGGAAAGACTCCTATTATTGTCAATGGGCTTTGGATCAGGCCCTGGGTCTAATCACCAAGCAGCTAGTTGGTCTCGGCTCCTGTTAGTCACAGGGAACGTGTCCAGCTGATTTGAGCAACTAGCCACCACATTATCCAACAGTGTCCCCCACTGGCAACGATTAAAACACTGGCATCTCTCTTCCAATGCAAAATATAAAGTTATGATGATTCTGCCTATGAGCAAGGAAGAAAGCTGATCCCCAAACCAGAAAATGCTGCTTTACAAGACGTAGCCATACAAAATAATTAGGCTACTTAGCGGCTCTAGAGAGTCTCAACGCAATTCGCAAATCTGATTGAAATCACACTTCATTGTGAGAAGGGATGGATAAGAAGGAAAATATATTTCTGTCTTTTGTGAGATTTCAGCGAGGGATTTTTTTTGGCCATAGATTCCTCTGGTTTATTTGATGCTTGCAGAAAAGCAAGTGCATCCTCTTGTCAATGCACTAAATTGTGCAATTGAGCATAATTGGCCAAATTATAAGATGAGTAAAAGTGCAGAGACAGATAGGACAGATATAGATTCAGAAATGCAATACGGAGGCAAAGAATTGCTGGGGAACAATTTCCTTGCCTTTTTCCTTCTGGCATCACCCCATTGAAACACAGTCATCCTGACCCCTCCTTGTCCTGCACGGGTTACTGTGAGAGTATTTGTGTACCTTTTTGTGTGTTTTCAGAAAGGACAAGGCACTGTTCCTAATTCAGCTGTCTTTGAGAACACCCTCCAGTCAAGTTCCAAAGTTAGCAATCTCTTTTGTTCTTGCTTTAAATTAGACGAGGTAGAAATACCGAACGGGGAAAACAATGGGACAGCGACTGAGGGAATTCTGAACTGGAGTGGAAGGAATTCTCCTGGAAATAACTGCACAAAGCCCAAAACAGCTCCCCCCCCCAAAATAGCAAACAACCCCCCCTTTCTATTTAACTGAGAATCACGCACCTGCAAAATAATTACGTCTAAAATGGGCAGTCTAAGAAACAATACCTGTCTGATAAATATCAATAGAAATAAATTGGAGGGTAGAAATCAATAGAAACAGCACTAAGACAATATGGTTTTTCCTTGGGGTTAGTAGATTTTGATACACTGAGCAATTCCACCTCCAGGTGCATTTGGTCTTTCACGTAATAAGGTCCGAGGAAGATTTTCTAGGCAGCCAGATTGTGAAGGCAAAACTTTGCCCCCCTCGCCTGAATCTCTCACCCAAACTAGTGTCTGAGTCTTTCAGTCCCTCACAGCCAGAGAAACTCCTTAAAGAGACTAAATTAATTGTAACTCTTTAAACAGGGGGGAAAAAGTCTCAGCAAAAACCAAAAGCCTCCCCCATTGTCTTTATACTAACAAGATGCTCTGATCTGAAGAAGCACCTGCTTGCAGCAAGAGACAGCCCGTGTGGTCTTCTGTTCCCTCCGCTCTGCTAGCCACCGACACAAAGAGACGCAGGGCTGGTGTTAGCCTACCTGAGGGTGTGTTGTCCGGAGCAAGGCTTCCTCTGATGTGTGAGTCTTCCACAGTGCCTCTGCCACAGTCGTGTGTGTGTATATATATCTATATCTATAGACAGTACACACTCATCCACACTTCTCCCGCCCTAGCCTACCACCACGTGCATCGCTGAACCCACCCCTCAGGATGCTGGCTGGCTGACACACTAACAGCAGCACCGTGCCCTTAGCATCTCCCTCCCCTCCCGAAACCTTTCCAGAAACAGTATCACTTTGTGATCGCTTTACCGGAACCCTTTAACATGCAACACACCAGCCTCCCTGCATTACTCACTCTCGGGAGGAGAAGCAGTAATGAAGGCTCGGAGCTCCCCGTGCCAGCTAACTGCAGCACAGAACCCCAAAACAGCTCCATCAGAGCAACAGCCTCCAGGACAAGGGAATCCCAGGCCCCCAATCAGAAAGGGAATGGGTTTCCCAGTCCCCTGGCCTACCCCTCATTCACAAAGGACTTCAGAAGGGTGGGGAGTGAACGCTTAGCACCTCTTGTTCTCCTCCCAGCATTGTGAGCATTGTATATGAGAAACCCCCGAGGAGCTTGGGTAGTGATATGGACTGAGCCCCAGACTAGGAGACAGGTAGTCTGTGTCTGACTCCGCCACTGGCATGCTGGGTGACCTTGGGTAAGTCACTTGACTGCCCCGAGCCTCAGTTTCCCTTTCTGTAAAAGGGGCTTACTATTACAAGTGCTTAGAAATCACAGAATGAACAGTGCTTCATAAAAGCTTTGTGTTTTTGTGAGCGTAAGGGAGTATTATTAAAAATTCTTTCCTTTATATAAAGCGATGGCAGTTTTCATCCATGTTATAAATGCATTAAGCTACACAAGACCCCTGTGCGGTAGGAAAGAGCTCAAGCAGGGATCATTTCACCCAGCGCTGAAAAGAAGGCAGTTCTGGGATGGAATCCAGCAGCTCTTTAGAAGCACATGGGAACCTGCCTTGTCTACACTAGGACTTTGTTTCAAAATAACCCCCCTTAGGTCGAATTTACAAGCAGAGTGGCCACACTACCACGTCCATTATTTCAAAAGAAGGGGCCACTTATTTTGAAATCTGTACTCCTGCTTTCCACCAGGAATAAAGCTAATTCCGAAATAACGGAAAAGCAATGTGGATGATCCAGTGCCGCTATTTCAAAATAACCACTCCCCAGAGTCATTACTGCCCAGTGCTGCCTGGGGCGCCAAGTCGAGGTGGCCCGTCCACACGACCAGACTCATGTGCCTCGGACTGATTTCGATGCTTCCCCGTAGTGAGGACACGCTATTACAAATGGGTTAAATCGGGAGTCTTTTAAGTCGAATTTAGTCATTTCCAAATCCTTTCCTAATGTAGACATGGCCCAAGAGTGTACGCCGGAGTCCTAAGGAAAACGCTAAGTCCCACTGAAACTGCAAAGGGGAATTTTAGGAAGACAACAGCTGGATTTTTGCAACAAAGGTGACCATTTTTTGAGAAAAGTACCAGGAGATCAAAGATACCAAAGGACAGGCCCTGGGTTTTCCACCTCTTCTAAAAGAGGGTGCCCCCACAGCACAGAATCCTTCCCTCCCCCACCTGTCGATGGGACGTTGGCTCCATACTAACCCGGGAAGTAGTGCCAGCCACAACATGGCCACCTCTACTTCCTGCCTCAACTCCATGCTCGGTGGAGATCGCCCACCACCCAATGGGCCCCCGGGTAACATCGACAGGCGGAATTGACCCGGTGGAGCTTAGTGCATGAGTCTCTCTACAGCGGGGGCGGGGAACCTTTCTCGGGTCGGGGGCCGCTGACCCACAGAAAAATCAGTCAGGGGCCGCACACAAGGGAGACGTAAAAAAAAATCCAAGCTGGCACTGAGGTGGCCCCTGGCTGAGAGGGAGAAAGACATACCTCACACCAGAGCTTGGGGGGGCCCAGCCTAGTCAATGGGGTGCGCCACAGTCTTGTGGTGGAGCGGAGGGGTGGCTGAAGCACCAGTGTGGGCTCCCAAATCCTCTGGGGGACCTCCTGTGCCTTGGGGGCCAGATCCAGGCAAGCCAGGGGCCACATGCAGCCCCTCGCAATACAGAGTGGTTTCAGCAGGGAACAGGTGGGCGGGATGTCAGGCCAAGAGGGGGTAACAGTGCTATGCAGGGGTCTGGCCAACAGCCTCCTCGCTACAGGCGGCGGGAAGCCTTGGAGGTGACGGCTGCGTCGTACAAGGGCCGGGAGTCGGGTTCCCCATTTCACCCTCGGCTAGCGGGGAGGCGGAGGCCGTGGGGCTGCGTGGACAGGGGTGAAGCCATGTGCTGAAAGAGGCCATCTCGACAGCTGGATGGGGTTGTGTCCATGGGGACAGGGGAGCGTGCTGCCAACGGTTCAGCCCTCCGGGGAGAGCGAGTGAATGGGTCCCGCTAGCCAGAGGAAGGAGGGTGCTCGGTACAATTGGATCTTACATCTGCAGGGCCGCAACGGGATGGGAGGCCCCACCTTCACCTTGTGCTATAGGGAAATGTGGCCTTCTCTTGCCTCTCCGTGGGAAGAAGCCGCTGACCAGATACCTGGTGGCCTTATTTTTCTGGCTGGCCTCGACTAGCCCCAGCAGTGTCCTGCAGAACATCCCTGCGCTGGATTATTTAATCCACAAGGATCACCGTGGATTGTGACCAGACAGCCACACATCCCTGGGCAAAGGCGGCGAGTGGATCTGAGCCTCACAATTTAGACCCAGAGGCTGCACATTGACCCCCTCCCCGATGTTGGGGGTATTCGGATCCAAGTTTGGTTTGACCAGGACTGAATTCACCCAATTCAGAGGCACAAGGGGATTTTAAAACCCTTCTCGCCCTTAAGCAACTAACTACAAAGGCAGCTGGCCACGAAGAGGCGAGACACCGGCACACATCCTCTCCGGACACGGCCTGGAGAAAGTACGTCCTCCTGCTGCGTGAGTGGGTGCATCGAGATGAAGCAACAAAGGAAAGTCAGAGAGCAAAGGGATCCAGGTGAGTCACTGACCACACGAGCTGAAACACTCAGCGTGACGGGGCTAGAAACCAAACCCCAAGAAAGCAGCCAGGGGACAGACAACCTGGTGTCCGATGGGACAAGCAACAACCCGCTGCTGATCAGCGAAGGTCCTATAGAAGTGATCCAAGAGCAGGAGAGTTATTTCGTTCCATTACCCTGCTGTTACATTCCACTTTCTCCAAACCCCCACGCTGCAGTCTCGGTTGGAAACCAGCTTTTTCTCCGATTCCTACACGCACGGCGTTGCTCTTGGCTGTCAGACAGCTGCCCCAGGCCCCCACGCTACGGCTGCATCAGAAGCTGGGGAAGCCGCCTAGGAACCGAAGGAGTGGGAAGCCAGGAAAGCACTTGGAATTCCTGTAGGATGGCAAGGTGCTGTAAAGAGGAGCGATTTCATGTTTATAATAGGTACGTGCTGAGACTCAAACTAGAGCAGGGTCACACACTATCAGGTCACTATCAAATAGCTTCCTCCCCAACTCTGACCTTCTTAAAACCATTCCTAATCCTAAGGGGAAGATGATTTGAATTCTCAGTGCCATTATTTCAGGTCCATTGTGGCAGCATTTTCTGTAGCTCCTTACACACATGAAGAGTACAACAGTTGTTATTCTGTGGTACTTATCTGGCCCAAGTTACGTTGCATCTGAAAGTCTCTCATTCTTTAATGTATGTATCCTCAACACACACAGCTGTAGCAGGACAGTACTAGTATCCCCAGGCTACAGCTGGGGAAGAGATGCAGAGAGAGGCTAAGTGACATGCCCAAGGTCACATAGGAAGTTAGTGGCAAGGCACCGAACTCACTTGGTTCTTCTGAGTCCTGGGCAAGTTCCCTTGCTACTGTGCCACTTCACTAAATCTCACAGCTCCCTGTGATACTTCCTGGGGTAGCCAGGGTTGTGAGGCACTTCGCTCCCACCTGCCTTCAGCAAGAAGGAGCCACTCTGTGCCCACTAGGCATTATTTCCCCAGTTCCACTGGCCATAGGCAACACACCACTTCCCTATAGGCATATGGCAGGCCCTGCTTTGCCCCGCCTCCCCAAGCATCTCCCTGGAGTGTCTGGCCGATGGTCCACGGGTCACTCATGAGATTCTGAGATTTGCTGCTTCCACATAAACAGTGCACCCCACCTTCCCCGTTCTACCACTCTCCACCCAGCGCTGGGATGCAGTGATCATGACATCAAGTGGAGATTCATTTAACAAAGCCTGGAGATTCAGTAGCATGTAGACGCAGTGGAAACCAACGACAGCCCATCAGATAAAATCACAATGTATGTTGCCAGAGCCTGGGCTTAATTCACAAGATATTCGCCTGGTCAAGTATTACTCACCCCACGTCTCCGTAGAGCTCTGTGGCCAGCTGGTTCGGACCTTCCTTTCAGGAGCCGCGCCCATTATCAGTTCGCCTGGTCAGTGACGGATTCCGTGTGGCTCTTGGCACTTCATGCACCCACCCCAGAGCCAAGAGGCCCCACAAAATTGAATAGCCCCAGACCCCAAGAAGAATTAATCTGACCCTGCATGCCAGAGCAATATGCAGAGACCCAACCCAGGGGGTTCCCGAACAATCATATGCATCCCCCCCGTGCCCTCTGCCAGTTGGTATCAACCAGTCCCTGCGTCACACAGCCACTTTGAGATTGGTCAGTGTCTCCAGTGTACAGAGGGGGGCGGAGTTGAGGCAAGGAGATTTGACCAAGGCTATATGGTGGGTCAGTGGCATGGCATCCCTCAAACTCAGGCACCAGCGCTAGGCTTTGTGAGCATAAATCCTGTGGTCCCCTTACTTAGACCAATGGTGCCTGGATAGCAATATTGACGACCTATCCGACACCACCCCCTTGTATTATTCCCATTCAGCAGTGTAGCCCCAGCGCCTGATCTGGGGACAAGTACCTGCCAAACCTCAAAGTGACAACTGAAATTCTTAAGCCACCAGTGTAATCAATGCACAATCCGTAGCACACACAGCGGGCAGGGAAACTGAGGCACGGAGCCATTTGAGTGGCTTGAACAGGTCATACAGCAAAACCCGGGGCAAAGTCCAGAATCAAAGCTAGGAATGTGGCCTCCTAGCAACCTGCTCCCACCACCAGGACACATTCCCTCGCACA